TTTGTTTCATTAGAAAAAATCTTTTGCGAGAATGACTGACCTGACAACAACGCAAACAGCATTTTTCCTAAATGTTCAATCCATAAGAGCCCATCATGACCAATTATCAGTTTTAATTGAATCCTTTGATAACAAGCCTGCATTAATCGGGCTGACTGAAACATTGCTCTCAGACAACGATCCTATTGGCATATATAACTTAGAAGGTTATGACAATATTGACTGTGCCAACCGCGTAAACGCTAGAGGTGGGCGCGTTGCAGCTTTCATTAAAACTGGCCTTAACTATAGTTATTTTAAATTACCAGTCAGTTTGGAGCACAGCATTATCAAAATATGTTTTGTCAATCACACTACACTACATGTTTGCATAATATAATGTCCACCAAATCTCAAACTAGAACTTTTCTGAATTTATTTGAAGATTTATTGCTTGAATTGAAAGCACTAAGCGGTGAAATTTTGCTAATGGGTGATTTAAATGTCAATATTATAGGTAACCAGCGCAATTTTTTTAACTACAAAAATCTTCTGCTTTCTTTTGATTTAGAAGTTCAAAATATCGAGCCAACTAGAGTAACTAAATCATCAAGTACATGCATTGACCATATAATTGCGGCGGAGGAAACTCAGGTAACAACAATAAATTGTACTATTAGTGACCATTATGGAATTATGTGTGACCTAAAAATTATTTCAGAAAACCAAAACGTGGTTTCTTATCATTCGGATTTGAACTATGACTTACTACTGAATGGTGATTATTGTTTAAAAATTTAAAGCATTAAGCGGTGAAATTTTGCTAAAGGGTGATTTAAATGTCAATATTATAGGTAACCAGCGCAATTTTTTTGACTACAAAAATCTTCTGCTTTCTTTTGATTTAGAAGTTCAAAATATCGAGCCAACTAGAGTAACTAAATCATCAAGTACATGCATTGACCATATAATTGCGGCGGAGGAAACTCAGGTAACAACAATAAATTGTAATATTAGTGACCATTATGGACTTATGTGTGACCTAAAAATTATTTCAGAAAAGCAAAACGTGGTTTCTTATCATTCAGATTTCAACTATGACTTACTACTGAATGATGATTATTGCTTAAAAATTTTATTTTCGCTGAAAAATTGATTGAACAAAATTAATGATGATGATCCTGACCTTTACATCATTGAAATGACCCAAATCTTGATTGATGAATTTTCAAAGTATTGCTTAAAAAAAATCCGAAAAAAGAATAAAAACAACCACCCATGGATTAATCTGAAAATCAAGAAAATGATGAATAACCAAAATGTGTTACACAAAAAGTGGGTTCAGACACCATTCATTGAAAACAGTTCAGAAACCACCAAATAATTTCACCTCATGTAGGAACAATGTTATTAAGGCTATAAGGGTGAGTAAACGCCGGTACTATGATAACTTGATAACGAGGAAGAAGAACTCGTCCGGAGTTTTTGAAGCTTTAAAACATTTTTGTGGTAAAAAAATGTGAAAACTGCTTCGTTCGATGTTGATGTTTTCAATGAATACTTTGCTACTATTGGAGAATGAATAACAAAAAACTTCAAACAAAACGTGTATAGATCAAATTTTCCAGTTAATAAAAACTAATATGATACCAATCGATATGAGATACTGAAGGAAATTAAAAACTTGAACAAAAAAAAGTCTACTGGTCATGATGGGATATGTAGTAAAATGGTAAAATTTTCTGCTCCGGTGCTGGCTGACCATTTAGCGCATTTTTTCAATATCTGCTTCAAGAAAGAATGTTTTCCTAATTTTCTCAAAATTGCAAAAATTTTACCATTGTATAAAAATGGCGACAAAACTAAACCCGATAACTACCGTCCAATTAGTTTGTTGTCTTGTATAACTAAACTTCTGGAAAAATTAATTTTCAAGCGCATATCTAATTTTGCCGCTAAAAACAACTTGATTGATAAGCATCAGTTTGGATTTCGAAGTAATCATTCCTGTACTCATGCCATTTTGTCCATTACTGACTTTTTTCGTGAATCAATTGATAATAAAAAATTTGGTTACTCCTGCTTTATTGATTTGAAAAAAGCATTTGATACAGTTGATCGGAAAGTTTTGCTTGACAAACTTTATCAAGATGGGTTCAGAGGGAAAACTCACAAGTTAATGACAAACTATCTTACAGGGAGAAAACAATATGTTCATTCGAATCAATCCGTCTCGAATATGCTAGAATGTACAAAAAGTGTTCCTCAAGGTTCAGTTTTGAGGCCATTTCTGTTCCTTTTATACATAAATGATATGCCGTCGGCCAGCAACGTTAAGCTATTATTATTTGCAGATAATACAACGGTAGTTGATGCTCAAAAATTTGCATCCAAAACGAAGTTCGAGACAGAAGTAAATAAAATATGTAATTGATGCAATAATAACAAACCGCTCAAAAATCAAAAGAAGTGCAAAATAATGAAGTTTAGACGGGATAACTTAAATGAAAAATTTTTTTATGTTAATAATGTACTCGCTGATATTTCTGATTTTAGGTATTTAGGAATTCAAATGGACAACAGACTCAATTTTGAATGTCATATTAATAATGTTTGTGGTAAATTAGCTAAATTTAGCGGTTTACTATTCAAGGGTAGAAACTATTTCTCGAAAAAAAATGTGCTGGTTAAATTTTATAACTGCTATGCAAAGCCACTCATTTCCTACGGTTTAGTTGCATTTTGTGCAACATCAAAAAGCCTATTAGAAAAATATTTGTCATGCAAAAACGTATTTTTAAAACTATTTGTTTCAAGAGAAAATTTGAGCATGCCTCATATATCCTACATTCGTTTGAGATTGACACCGTTTTTGACTTATATTTCAGACAAATACTCAAAGAAACTTTTAATCAACTTCGTGGTAAAACTCCCCTTGAAACTTTTAGTTTGAAATCTTTGAATAATCGTCGGGTTACTCGGGCCTCTGTGGCAAAAACTTTACCAAGCATGAAAATTAGAACACAAATAATGCAACGTTCATGGAAAAATGTGTCTCTTAAATGTTGTAATTTTTTGAAATCAAACGAGCTGATACCACATAACCTAAACCAATTAACTGAGCATCAACTAAATGGGTTTTTCAAAAAATTGTTTTCATTGTTTTTTAAAGATAATGGAGATCTTCTAGATTTATTTTTTTGAATCATCAAGTCGGATACTATCTCGCAACTTCTGGCATAGGTTTTTTTCAGGGTCATGCCTCAATAAGCTGCATAACGTTTTGCATGATCCTTGGTGGGTTTGATTTGTACATGCGGTTTATTGTTTACCTGTCTGTATAATATTACTCTCCTAAATAATCTATACAGATTTTCAATACTTTTCAGTACCCAAAAAAAATGCAAAAAAAAGTCTATTGTTCTCGCTTTAAAAATTTTTTTTTGGTAGTTTCAAATGAAGTTCAGTTCGCTCAATTATCCAACTCTTTTGCTCATTGTAAGGTCTTTGGCGTGCAGTTAATTACTCGCATTTATATCTGAAAAAAATTTTTCATAACAAAAGTTTTTTTTTCAAATTACATCAAAAGTTAAGGTTTAATTTTTTAATTGAAAAAAGATTGGCAAGTACATCCAATTAATCAATTTACTCCCATATGCCCGATTGCATACGGTACATAGCCACCCATTCAACGGCATAAAGATAAATGTATATGATATGAATATAATTCCATGGATAAATATCGATTAAATTGTCAGATTAAAAAATTCTCTAAAAAATTACAAAATTTAATTGATTGTAATCGACTAAAAACAGATTATAAAGAGACTGTTTTTCTAAGCAAAAAAAATATTCATATAATCAATTAAAATGGTGGTTAAAACATAATCTATTTTTAATCAATTAGTTTTGTCAATTGTCATCCTTTTATGTTTCAGTAGCTGAAAATCATCTGGTTAGTTTGTAATACATTGTTTCTAGTTCATTTAACTAGATTTTTCTCTTACATTTTTTCAGTTTTTCAAAACTTGATTTTGCTTACATTCTCCCTGATCCAATTCATGTCCATCGTTCCCTCCTGCACAGCCCCTTCCCCAGCCCGTCACGTTTATCCCCTTCCCCGAGTTACCCCCCCCCCCTTCAAGAAACGTTACCCCACCCTCACGTTGCCCACAGCCCCAAGTGGGGGAGGGGGAATCTTGGAGTAGTAGACGGGGGGAGGTGATAAACGTAACGGGGTAGTAAGGCGGTGTGGGGGAAGTGGAAGGGTATGTGTGGGTGGAGGTGGAGGAGGGTCTGGGGTGTCAGAGGGTGGGTGTGTGTGTGTTGGGTGTGGGGTGGGGTGGAATGGGGTGTGGTTGAAGTGGTAGATGGTTGTGGTGGGTGTTGTGGAAGAGTTGTGGGTGTTGTCAACATTGAATTGTGATCTTACTGTGTTATTATATTGATAAACAGTAATACTAGTTAATCAGGAATAAAAAAATGCGTAACCTGTAAAAGATTTTTTGAAAACAAAATCCAAAAAAATTATTTATCAAGGAGTTTTTTTTATTAATGACTCATGACAATATGCAATAAGCAATTAGCTTAAATTATACAAGCAAACCAATAAAAAAAATTTAAAGAAGAACAGATTCTGTTTTGAATGTCTTCTTGGGGAAAAAATGTTTCGGTCGCGTAGTCATGATTAATTTTGCTTCAGTGGCGCCGGCCGCGGACAAATCAACTTGGCCAGTAAAACGTGGAATTATAGAGTTTCGATCTGGAAATTGAGAAATACCCATTCTGGAAATACCCAATCGTAGTACGGATAAAGTGTAAATATCAAAATTTGGTCCCTATAATCTTTACATAAAACGCCAACCTCGCCCCGGTAAAAAGCATCCGAGCCTGAAATTTTATAAAAGATAATTTTTGGTTGAGTTTCAAAGTTCACTTCATGTCTAGACTGTATTTTATGACCGGAACATGACATAGTTGATTATATTGATTACAGATAGTTGTAAAAGCATAAAACTTACGATTGAGAAGGGCGAGTTATCGTGGTCCAAAATATGAGGCAAGAATAGAAGACGAAGTTAGCCATATGACACTACTGAATTCAAGCTTGGACTTTGTAGCAGAAATCAATCAATAACTGGAAAGACTGGAGAAAAATTCAGGGCCCATATTTATCAGTTGGGTCAGTATGGTGGTAAGAAATCAATGAATGCTACTACTGAGATGGAATTTTTGAACTTTAACTTTTTGAGTTGTAATATCAGCCAGAAGAACCAAGCTCGATAAATATAATAGATGCTTGATCGCTTTTCGATAGAGAAGGAGGGAAATTTCAGCCTCAATTGCATTAATATACCGCCTCTATTTTGCAAAAGTTGAGGTCAGTTACATAAAGCTATACTTAATTGACATATCGAGTTCGTTTCCAGGACATGGCAAAGATTTGATAGCTGTGGTAAGTTCGAAGTAATCGCAACGATTCATAACTATGATTTCCTGGTACGGACCTGAAAAAATGTCTTTTGATTATTCTGTGAAATATTTCATGAGTTAGAAAGAGGGAAAAGATGAAATGAAAAATGGCCGATAAGAATTTCAAAGAAGGCAAACTGGGTTTTCAGGGATATTAGGGAGCCTTTGATTCGCTGAGAGATAAAATGAAATTGTTCAATGTATTTATGCAATGTTATAGTTGGGCGCCTAACTTCATGCCAACCGGTCATTTTTATATTGACGAAATGTAGAAAACATGACCAGCCGAATTTATTGGAGTAAAATGGTTTCCAAAATATTGAAATTCTATTCTACTATTAAAATATTACCAATCATTTCAAAGTTTGTTTTCAAATTTTTTTTTAGAATGTATTTTGGTTCTAAATTAAAGAAGGGCAACCAATCACTTTCGACATAGATAACAATTCATAGCAAAATACATTCCATTTATTGAAATAAAGCCGAACAGCAAAGATCAAAATCAGTGTTGTAATTTGAAGAAAAACAATTCTTACATCATGCTATACAAATTTTTTTGGATCTCTCTGTATATTGCAAATGAAGGAGGGGGATTGGCAATTTAAGAGGTACAGTAGCAGCATATGCTTAACAATTAATTTAGTTCTGTATGGGGGGTCTTTATTATTTACTAAGTGCCATAGAGTGAACGGAGGGGGAGGGGGGTTGGTAGTCAAAGAGATCCTTTTTTTCACCAATGTTCGTTTCCCTTTTTTTTTTCGTTTCGGCTAGTTTACTCAAACTTTTCCCTATTTACTGAAGTCGAATTAGGGAAAGGCAGTTGGATTAAAATAGGCTCGGCCTAATTTGAGGAATTTTTCCTTTGTCATTTGACACTAGGACGATGGAAAGATGGGGGAAAATCTTGTTTGTTTCCCGCATTGCCTCAGGCTAGAGGAAAAATTTCAGGTCAACAAGACTATAAAGAGCAGAGGGGGGTCTAAATTGGCGACCGATACTCAACTAAAAACTCCGAAAAATCAACCAGAAAGCAACTTATTAAATTATAATTTTCTGCGACAAAAAATACAACGTTAACCTAGCAAAATTTTCCAATACAATAATTCAATTTCGGCAAAGTCATCTACATGAGGCTGCAATACTCCTTTTAACAATGTTTGACCAGATTTTATTATAACTTAATTCAAAAAAATCTCATTCGATTTCTGCCCTTGTTGCCAACTGCTAATTGTTCAAGCCAAATTGGGCAAACAATGCGGTGAAAACAATGCAGGGAACTGGGCTAAGGATATTGTTACGGGGAAAGGAATTCTATTACTAAACAAATGCCGAATCATATTACTTCTTCAATTTTGCTAGGCTAAAAGGCAGCAGGTAGTGTCAACTCTTTAGTGTTTCCTTCTGTAATCAAGAAGGCAACAGAAAAATTGAGCGAACGACACAGATATAACTTGTCTTTCAGCTTGAACCAACTTAAAAAGCATGAACAACTTAAATGCTCTTTTTATTCAATCAAAATTATGATGAAGACTATTTATCTAGAGAGAAAGGACCAAAATAGAAACCGTACTCCTGCCTAGGAATTACATTAACAAAATGTTGGTTTTTTTTAATGCTGAGTAGTGTTGCCTCATCCGGAAAACAAATTTGAAGACGTATAAAAATTAAGTTTTATGATGTTAATTTTAAGGTACCATGTTGTTATTTCTTAGTTGTCGCATGATTAATTTATGAACAACGTGATTCTTATGGGCTTTGATTACGATCAAAGTAATCAACGATTGAACGTTTTCCGATAAAAATTTAATGG